CGGTCATCCCCTGTCACTGGACGGGAACCCAAGATTCGGCGGTAAGCGCATTTAATGTCGAAGATTTGGTGGTTGGGACCCCAACCACCCACAGCTCTCCACGTATGCATATCTACCTGCCCATTGGTAGTATAAATAGTAGCATTTATTTCATTGTAAAGGGTTGACAACTTACCCATCTTGGTATTCTAGCATTCTCATAGCTCATAGCAGTGTTCTCAGCTCTTCTTGTAGCGAGACAGGCGAACAGCCGTTGGCCAGATAGCATTAATGTGTGTAACGGATCATTATTATCACTTAATAAGAAAAACCCCAGTATTGCAGCTTTAGCCCATCTTACTTGCTAGCACTCTACATTCACACTCACTCCTCCACTCGAAATCTATAGGTTGCGTGTTGGGCGTACGGGTTGAAAGAATAAGCCTCAACAATTTGTGAAGATGGTGGAGATGGGAGAGCAGCTGAACAAGCATACAATGTGTATGGATAGTACAATAAAGCTTTAAATATGCAAGAAGATGATACCTTTTGGGCTAATCTAACATCAAGCATGGTGCTAATATCTCACGAGGTTCCAAATCAAATACTTCAAAAGAAATTGGACACAATAAAAGAAAAAGAAGATAGCCAGGTGGGGCGGTAGCCTTTAAGGAACACTGAACAAAGGTCAATTCATTTTATGACGAGCTATTAGGAGCTATCAAACAAGGACCAACCACAACCGAAGACAATTACGAGGGTTCAAGAATTTCATCTATGATCGATGTGTTGAGTAGGATGGCGGATGGATAAGGGCAGTGAATTATGGAACGATGACATAAGTAGAATCATCACTAATAATGTAAGAAGGGAGGCACTTTTGCGGCTCAATGAGGACACCACGAGGATGTATTGATTGAAGATGATGCCTGACTGAGAAAAACATAATTATATTTTATGCTTATGATTCACTTTTTTTTGTTTTGTTTATGAGACTTCTAACTTGTTATCCGTGTTTAATTCTTGTTAGACTTAGTTTTACTTTTATTTGACTAGTATTTAATAGGGGTTTATATCTCTGTTCATTTGTGCTTGTTGGATGTCAATTTCTTTTAATGGTTTTGATAGATTATTGATGCTGTATTGGTATTCATTCTTATGAATTAGGTACGTAATGGAAGGAGATCAAATCAAAACATTTTCCTTATTTTTAGCATATCTATTCTATTCTCAATGAAACTGAACTTGTTGCTTATTATTACTATAAGCATATTCATAAATAGCCTTGCATGAGTTCACCACTGACAATAGATGATTCATGAGACAATTGATGACTGGTCAACCAATTCGATGTGTTAGTGCTTTCCGAATGAGTTGAAGTGTTTTCAAGTAATTATGTGGGGAACTGCATCCAAATTATGGATTATTCCCGAGAAAGAATTGACAAAATATCAGTATATGAAAAGGTGAGTACATTTGCATACACACTGGCTTTGGGACTGTCTAATAGGTATGTAAGGGAGAGGTTCCAACGTTCGGGCAAAAATATAATAACATTTATTCAATTGTAAAGGGTTAGCATTTTGATACTCACTAGTAATATATACCAATCTAGCTCTTGTATTAACAACTGGTCTGTAATACCTGTTTGGCCATTTCCTTGTAATCTGCATTATTACGCTAATACGGTTGGGCTATTGAATCATCTTGTTATGGTCTATCATTTCCATTTTCCTTTCCTTCGTAAGCACACCAAAGAATATTCAAAGAGCCGTGTTGGGCCTTTGGATCTACACGAATTGGCCTCAACACTGCCGTATCACAATTCACAAGTCGATCTCAAGGCGCTGCCTGCAAACTCCATGACCAAGTCCAGAAACAAGAAACAAACTCATCTAGTTTGGTATACTCTCGCCGGGCAAAAAACGAACCGGAGAAGAAGGTTGTCGGAGAAGAAGTCGCCGGAGAATAATTAAAAAAATAACAGAAACAAAATCATCTAGTTTTGTATACTTCTCGTTGGGAAAAGAACGAGCTGGAGAAGAATTCGTCGGAGAATAATTAAAAAAAGAGAACAGAAACAAACTCATCTTGTTTTGTATACTTCTCGTTGGAAAAAAAACGAGACGGAGAAGAAGGTTGCCGGAGAAGAAGCCACCGGAGAATAAAGGGCCTGCCGCTCTACCGCCAACAGGAGTGCCGCCGTAACACATGAGGCTGTCAGACGGTGCGAAATAGTTATCCTGTTTGGTTACCATTGTAGCTGGGTTCTGCGTTGCTCGAAGGGAAGGACCAAAGGAGTGTTGCCCCTTTGAAGGGCCACTCAAGTAGTCAAGCACTCCAGATCAATATACGGAGTAAGGATGTTTTTACTTGGACTGTAATTTGCTGGTCTAGCCTGGTCTGATCTGGTAATGTCTAGTCTCTTTGTATTTTTATAACTATCCAAGTCTGGTCTGAGACAGATTACAGTCCAAGTAAAAGCAACCTAAATGTTTTCGTAAAAAAATATTGGAGTTTTGCTGATGTGGCTGTTAGAAAGCCTTGCTGAAAATAGAGGGGAAAGTAGACGATATCTCTTTTTTTCCATTCCAAATCTGCACCCCAGCCAATCTACATATTTCTGTTGGACAAGATAATTTTCCCAAATATGATGTGGCAATGCATTTAGAAGCAATCTATGTTCCCACTAAAGATGCTTTAAAGTACACTAGTCTTTCACCCGTGCGTTGCACAGGATACCAATTTAATTGCATAGTCAGTAAAAACCATTGGAGTGTACTATTTTAAATATTAAACTTTCTTCCAAAATCATGATTTTTTTTTCAAAAATCATATTCCATTGACAATTTAACGTAAGATTCTATAAAAAGTGACATAGTATCAAGTTAGGCAAGCTTCTCCAATTAAATACATTTATTCTAATGCTTCTACATCATATATTCACTGTAAGCCTTAAATGACAACATTTCAGTTTTTGCTTCCATTCCATATGTTTTCCTCTCCTTATTCTATGAGGTCAGCTATATCCTCATACTTCGTATGTGATTGTAGTTTGTAGAAATTATACCCATATCACGGCCTCAAACATTCTCATTCTTGCATGTATACATTTGCTCAGAATGAACCAAGACTTGAAGGATTTTTACAAATTTAGACTTGAATGATTTTTTACAATATCTGCGACTACTACGAATGAAACAAAAATTGAATGATTTTTTTAAAGTCTTGAACATTTTGTTTATTATTACTTCTGTCTTGTGCCACATAAATCTACACCAGTATTTGATCAAGGATATAATTCGACAAATCACTATAGAATAAGGATATCACACTCATCACATTAAATATAGCATCACTCAATATGTAATTTAAATAATATAAATGAAGTATTTTTTCAACTATACATCATGCTAAGATTAGCAATTATGCATCATACAAAAATTGTACTCCATAAAACTTAAGTTTCACCTTTCTATTTAGAATGTTTCAATATAAAGTTTCTACTTACACTCCTTTCTATATTTAGTGAGTCTTATTATTCATTTACTTGTTTATCCTCACATAAGATTATTGAATTGATGTGTGTAGGGGTGCTTCAGGTCGGGCCACCCGGCGCGTGGACCGGCCCGGCCCGCTACTGTGTGGGACCGGTCCGGTTCTCGGGTCCAGGTCCGTGTCGGGCCTAGGCCCGGGTGGGGGGCGGGTCCGGGCTCGGGTCTTACATTTGGCGAACCGGCCGGACGGGTCGGGCCCGGGCCGAAATGATTTTTTTTTTCATTTTTTGGGGTTGCACCTGGGTTGGGCTTGATGGTTAGTAGGGGTTTGGGGGGTGGGGGTGAGGGGGGGGGGGGTTGGGAAAGCAAAAAAAATAACCAAACTGGAGGCCCGGCCCGGACCCGGTGGCTACCCGGGCCGGTCCCGGAAACCGCCGGCCCATTCGGGCCTAGGCCCGACCCGGACCCAGCCCGACACGGCCCGGCCCGAGTCCACCACTGGATGTGTGTTAGTCACATTTCATTTACCCCATTTATTGTACCCATTGGGTATTAAATCTTCTAATAACTCAAGGGAAATTTTCGAAAGCCACCTTTATATTCTATCGTACCTAAAAACCCGTGAATTCAAACCCAAAACTTAATTTCGAGACGAAAGGGGTATCTTATTAGCTATTTGTTTTAATGGCACGGAACATTTTCTATAATTCATGGAGGTTAAACCTATAATAGACCCATGTAATTATAGGTTCAATTAAAATATAATAATTCGTGGAGGTTAACCAAACATTATAAAATCCAATAAGATTATTGAATAACATAACTAAGATAAACTTCATCTACAATGTATACTCTAAGTGAAAGATAACTTGGAAGAAATTAATTAGTGAACTGTGACTCTCTTATCTCCTAAATTATTTTCTCTAATTGTTGTTATAAGATAACCTCAAGTTCTTAAAAATATTGTGCAAGAGGAATAAATAAAAGACCTCTCTCGTAACTAAAGTGACACATATATAATCATTTGAGGAATTCTGATAATTTGAAGGAACAAATACGTAAAAGGATTGTCTGTGGAGGGGAAAAATGTTTTGTAAATAAAGCGATGCACAAAACAAAGATTACTTTATGAGTTTATGCCATTTTTGTGTTATGAAATAGAACTAAAAAAGAATATATATTTTTTAATCTGTGGAAAACCAACTGATAAAAATCAAGAAAAACAAAATGGTGACACTCCCAATTTGGCATCTGATGTGCATTCAAAGTAAAAGTAAATAGATGACTTATGAGTAACAAAGGTGACATTCCCGATTATGTTAAACTAATACGTACTCCCTCCGTCCCTAATAACTTTGTCAAGTTTGACCGACACGAGAATTAATAAAGTAAAAACTGTATGATTGAGGTTTGTGCAGAGGAGAGAGAATTAACTGGAACCACAAATTCTTTACTTAAATGGGAAAGTGGCAAAGTTATTGGGACATCCAAAAATGGAAAGTTGGCAAAGTTATAAGGGACGGAGGGAGTAGTAAATAAACTGGAATTTATACCCATAACTGATGACTTATGAGTGCCTTACCAAAGTTAAGATTACTTTGCCTCTCCACAACGTAATAATATCCTCTACAGAGTATTTCACAAACTGCAATGGTAAATTTACAGTGTTTCCTAATCAACCGGTGACCTCGTCCTGCTAGAAGACCACCTATCATCATATTGATATGATGATGATTACCTGTGTACATGGTGAAGTACTTCCATGTGCATTGAGCCTTCAACAGATGAACAGTCATGGCGAGAGGACTTCCGGCTACTACTACGCCTACTTTGCTTTCGGTGTTGGAGAGAGTAGCGTTCTTCTCTATCTCTTTCTGTTCTGTGCTTAAGGTTCTTGCCAGAGGCATCCTCTCTGCCCATGGAATATTTGTGCGTGCTGGAATCACAATCATCTTTGCCTGACATCTCCAACTGATGATGATGATGAGTGGATTTATTAAGTATAGATAGATACCCTATGGATAAAATTTGCCCATTAAGTTGTTTGCTTCTAATATTCTCAACTCTGATCCTTATAAGCCCCACCAATCCTCAAGAAGTTAGAAAAAACCAACTATTAGTATATTTTAATTCATTATAGATTCATGTTAAGCGTAATAGTCATTAGTGTTTTTAATCCCGAACAGCACACTTTGTTAATCAGACTTCAAATATGACTATCTAGAAGATGAATAGATCTATCAACATATTTGAATGAATACAGAAATGCAAAAGGAGGCCAAATCACTATAACAAAAAGTTGGTCAGAGAAATCTGATACACTTGACTAAACAAATCTCTGCATTTCTTCCCACTGCAGATAATACTTGGCTTTTCATAATGGTTGAGCTATGTGCGGGTAAGCTAGCTTGTATGTAGTTAGCCATTAATTCTTCAAATAACAGATAAGGAATGCAGTTAAAGATACCCCACTAAGATACAAATAAGTTCCATTTATTGAGTTCACTTTTAGCTCAATATCATACTTCTCTTTTAGTCACGTTCCATGATGTGCATGTTGGTTTTACAATATCACTTTGGTAATGAGAGATATCCACAACAACTATCTCAAAGCATCACAGTCTCATGGTATTTCTCACACAACTATGCATGCCAAAAAACCCCTATGATAATAACAAATGAAGGGCGTCTATCATAAAACTTTTTCATTGTGCAGTATTAAGAAAAAATATTATACTGAGAAGAATGAAGACTGAGATTGTCCAAGACAATGAATTGGCACCTTATCAGGAAATTGACCCCCTAAGCAATTAGGATTAAGGTATTGATGATAATAATGATGATGATCAATACTTCTCTTATGCACAGTAAGGAGAAAAATGGAAGTGCAAAACTGGAATAAATAAATATTTACACACCACACTATCTGGGAGAGATGTTGTGACAGCCTTTCCAATGTCTAATACAGCCAAAAGTTCATCAGGAGGAGGCTTTTCATTGAACAGGTCTCTTCCTTTACTTGGATCTTCAGGTACTTAAGCCTCTCTTCGACTACAAATAGGAGATGTTTATCATAATAGTATTAGAAATGAAATCACAAATGAATAAATACAATTATATAATATTATTTTCATATACATTGCATCATGGATATTATAATACCTGAACAAATAGATCCTATGTTTCTTGAAAGCACAGCAGAGGAGCGTGATGTCCATCAGAGGCTCCTTGCTTTCATTAGCATTTGCTGCTACAGGGAGTTTTTTTATTTTTTTATTGCTTCTATCACCTCAATACAAAGCAATTTTTAAAAATCTATCATTGCTCTCGACCTTGCCAAGAATCCGAGCTACCTTGTTGGTATGCATATTTGCAATCTGACACATTTGAAGATAGTGGTGAGATTTAAATGAAGTACATGCATAGATCCCATTGACAAACAATGCACTAATACCGCAATGTCTACATCTTACTCTAATTTTTAATAGTGTTGCATATATAATAAAGTTTGAACTTTCATCAAAGACAGCATTTGGCTGTGGCACCTTTTCAGTTTTCTCAAACTCTCTTTCTATGGCCATTCTTTGTCCAAAATCAATAGCATCCAGTTGGTACAAAGATACATCACTTCTTTGTGCCACCTAGAAGACGCAATATGTTTAGTATAGTGGCTAATACACTTATAGAATGAAGCTTTTAAGTGGATGAATTTTACCTCAAGAGATTCATCGTAGACATGCCTTAAATTACCAGTTCTAAACCAAAACACTCGAACCTACAATCAGGAGAAGTAATGGAAAATTGCTTACCATCTGGGCTAATCTGAAAATAAAAAAGAAGAGATGGTAAGATATAGCATGAAAGTAACCTCACTGTTATTAAAGTAAACATTGAATTTTCCCAATAAACCCATTAAGAATTTATTAACAATTTCTGATACAAATTAATAAAAATATAATGATAAAACAAATGTAATTGCGATGTTTGAAAGTAGCGTTTAGAATAAAAAATGAAACGATATTACCCCCAGGTCCGAAATATATTTCCACTTTATATAAATGACTAAAGCATACCTATTCCGAAAGAAACATAAATTTTTTAAAATAATTCCAACATATATGGTCTTATCAGTACTACCCCATCAATCCTCAAGAAGTTAGAAAAAACCAACAATAAGTATATTTTAAGTCATTATAGATTCATGTTAAGTGTAACAATCATTATTGCTTTAAATCCTGAACAACACACTTTGTTAATGGCTGTGCAAAAAACAGAATTAGAAATCCTATCAGCTAATCCTGAACAGCACCTATTCAGAAAATACACATGGAGCTTACTAATAATACAAAGCTGAATAAAGGAATCACAGCTTGACATGTTATATGAATTCAAACAGTAGCCTCATTAACATGGAAAGCATTCTTTGATAAAGTTCTCATAGTAGTGTGAGGGTTTCTTTACCACACACACCACACATTCATAAGAGCTAGTATGTTTGCTAGTTCACCAACTTGCTTAATTTCCAAATGAAAAATCACTTCTATAAAAACGGCTTCCAAATGATCTATACATGAACTTCTTAATTTCCTGTAACATCAACTTGCTTAAATTTCTTGGGATGCGTTATTGTTGGGCACAATTCCTAATAAGAAGAAAATAAATATAAATAAATGAGTAGGGTCGTAGGGAGGCTAACCTGTGAAGCAAATTAATCATGGTAGATGCATCATAAGAAATGCCGCTACTACAGGGAGCTCAGACACACCTTCAAATACATAAATAAAATATGGTGATCATATATGTGTGATAATTGTAAGATAGACGGAAGAGTGCATATTTCCTAAAGAAATCTCTTACATAGTATGTTTTCTCGGCAATTTAACTTATTCTTTCATTGTATATTAGAACCATAATTAAAACACAAAGTAATTTATCCATGTTTACAATCTCTAGAAGCTCCTAAATTTTTTCATCCAAAAACTCAATTAGATTGAATTACCGTTGAAAGTTTAAAAGAATTTATCTAGAAACTAAATGAGTACAATATTGATATTAGAAGAAATGGATTTAGATCAGCATACTAACCAAGCACAGTCCAATATCTGGGTGAGCTCCCAAAACATAGAGCAGACAACTTTATTAACTTATTTCGAGAAAAAAATTAAACCGTGTTGTGTCTCTAGAGTCTAGACAACATCATATTTTCAATCAATCTATCCTAGCTAACTGACAATTTGAAACCCTTTCAGCTATTCTCTAAATTGATAATTGCCTAAACCCACGTAAAGTTAGTATTGCTGTTTGATATATGGCTTGACCATGAAACTCTCTCACCATGAAAATACTAATGACATCAGTATCAGAACTCATTCTGGTAATCTATCATTTCCAACTCATACCAAGTAGAAGCATTTGCAAAGTAGTGTAAAAAAAAGAGCACTTAGTGGTAATAGTTAAACATAGAGAACTCTCAGAAAAGTAAAATAAATCAGCAGTCTATTTTCTTGCAGTAAATAAAGAGCAATTGAAGTCAGTAGTAAAAGCAGCAGGAATTAACATGAATTACATATTATTGGAATGAATGAAATCTCAGGATTTATACCTCAGATAGTTGCTGAGCTTGCACGAACGGAGTAACCGATTCCATCAAACAATCCAAGTCGGTGACGTTCTTAGGCGGCGCAGGAGAAGACGAGCGGACAGGCGACGTTTTGGAGTAAACGGTGATCGAATCATCGGAATCAGTCTGAATTCTACTTAGTTTCTTGGTGTCCATGACGATTTGATTAAAGACCCCATCTAAACCAATCTGTATATACTCAATCAAGAGGCATATTTTAGCCCCATCCAAAAGTTGCAGTCAAGTCCATATTATCTAAGATGATACTAACATTTTTTTTTACTTCAGAACAATTATAATGAAGGTAATTTTATACCCCGTAAAGAATGGTGCTAAGATTATATCCAATGAGGGATTCATGGTAAAACAAATTAATATAAACGGAAAATCATTACCTCCAACCATGTATGGCTCGGATGAATTGTTTTTGCACTCAACGCAAACCAAACTTGCAAACTGCACACCAAATTTGGAGAAAGAATAAGTAGTTAACATCGAACATCCCTCCAATACAAATGTAAGTTTTATACGGAGTACTAAACTTGTTGAATTCAAGTTCAGGATTTTTTTGTAAACCAACAAAAATGTAAAGTACAATCACACACATGAAACACACACACATGTGACATGTATAACCAATTAACCATAAACCATGAAACAAATGGAGTAAATGAGAATCAAGCATAGCTGCATTCTCTATTCCTAAGTCAGTATCATCACATTCCATAGCTTTAATTATTGCTTTGAATACAAACCTAATGTTTACACATTAATGCATTAAGAACCTATGATAATTGAGAAGAACATGATAGCTGTAGGATTTAGTATAAATTAATTTCATGTTGCTTAGAGTGGGTTTTGAAAATGAAAAGCTAGCAACCTTTCTCCTGGAAACTCGTAGTTGCTGGCTAATTAAAATGGATGCCCAGTACATGTTTAGCAGTCACTTCAATTTTTAAAGATCAATTACCTGGAAAATTCCCTTGACAATCTCAATGTACGGTCCCTTCTTGGAAGATCCTCCAGTGAACAGTACACCGTTAACTAAATTGAGTTTCTATAAATTAATCATTTTTTAACAGATGAAAAGCCCCAAAATTTGCAGAGACCGAAACATTAATGCCTCAACATCGAGAAATTACCGTTCGGTTAAAAGGCAGATTCCAATTTCTCACTTCGTCTTCACTGATAGAAGAGAGTCGTGACACTAAGGAAGTCGAAATTCATTTGGTATAGCAAAGAGAACAGCCGGTTTTGCTCTGCGAGTGTGTTCATAGACGTTCCGAGTGCGAGAGTGCGAGACTGCTAAAGTGTATTCGGAATAATAGGATGTGCAGCGCATTTACAAAAATGCCCCAGACATGAGCGGGAAAATGACTTAAGTGAGTTAATATATATATAGATTGCGACCAAACATTTACTTGATCAGGTCATTCTTGTTCGAGCCAGACCAAATCAGACCATACCAACAAATTCAAGTCAAAAGAAAATATTCTAAGATTATCTCATACCAAATTGAATAAAATTTGTGTGATTTAAAATCATTTTTATTTTATTCTTATTTTATCAATCCAATATTAATCGTATAATTGTGCCCCACTTCTCATCCCCATGTTAGTTGGGCGGAGTCAAGGAGGTAGACAGGTAGTTATATACTTATGTCGATGTTTGGGAATAAAATAAAAGGAGTCCGAAGTAAAAACATCTCGGCGAGTAATGGAGTATATATCTTTTTAATAAAGAGACGGTAAAGAGGTTTGATAATTTACCAACCTCGTCGGCCGGGTTCTTTGTGGTTCCATGATCCCTCTTGCTCCCACATAAACACTGGGAAAGAGAGAGGACGACCGAAGCCTTCGAAGGCGCGGAATACACATCTCTCAAGCTTTCATTTATTGAGATCGAAGCGACCCCGCCAGGCACGGTTTATTCTCCAATTACACTTTGTCTTCGAATGTTTGCTGGGTTTGAGATCTGAGCTATTGATTTTTGTACAAATCCATTAGTTGTTGCTCGAATTTATATAAGCAGGGTTTGGAATCACGATTCTTTCAATTGATTGTCTTCCGAACTCTCTAGTTTTATATGATTCATGGTTTATGTTTAGTTTGCGTATCTAGTTTCCCCTATAATGGTTTGAAGTGTCGTGAACAGTGCTCTTGAGTTGTGTTAGAAGAGCTTAGATCACCATATCTACTGTATGGATGGAAGTGTTATAAGACTTCCATGTTATCCTTGTAGCTTTAGCATCATAGCATGTATGCATTTACTTGGGCTTCTGAATGGATTTAAAAATTGTCCTATCTGTGTTCTACTTTATGCGTTACATCTTCCATGCCTTCATGTGTGTCCATCATGACTGTGTGTATGTATGTATGTATCTATGTATGCAGTGGAGGACCTAGGGGGCTCGGGGCTCTTTAGGCCCGGAATTTCACTATGAGTACATATGGTGAAAACCAATGCCCCAACCTGGACAAAAATTACTATTATTTGTCATTTTAGGTTATTCATCATATCAGTTTCGAGATGGAAAATCGCTTTATTGAGTCAAACATGGAATTACTCATTTGTTTAGCATGTCTTGATCCTAGAGACAAGTTCTCCAATTTTTGTGAGTCAAAGCTATTGAACCTCAGTGGAGTTATGTTTGTGCGATTTTTCATATGTCGATCAAAGGGTGCTGAAAGAGCAACTCCAAGCGTGGTTATATGAAATGAGAACAAATGAGTTATTTTCTGCCGTACAATTATTGGTGAAGTTTGTAGAAAGACGGTTGAGCTTAAAGTTTAGATTTTTTTTCACTTGGTATATCGTCCGATTGAGGTGGATTTAGTTGTTAACACTTGCAACAGTCACCGTTAAAAAAGTCTTCTCCGCAATGAATATTATCAAGACAAATCTTCACATTAAGGTGAGAGATGACTTTCTTACGGATTGCTTAGTGTACTACATCGAGAGAAATATATTTTAGAAGCATTGATAATGAAACTGTTATGCAACATTTTCAAAATATGAAAACGCAGAGGTTTGATTTACTGAAGTTGCAATAGTGAATTATTAATATGTAATTAAATACGTATAATTTTTGCTGATGACTTACTTTTTACCGTTTTTATTACATTTGGATTTGTTATTATAAAGAAAGTTTAGTGTCTCTGGGTCCGTCATTGCATGTATGTGTGTGTGTGTGTGATTAAGGGGTGAGGGAGCTTCATGAAATCTATATGCCTGTTAATTTGTGATTAAGTGCCCCCCATGTGTCTCCTTTTGTATGCATTGTGACTGTTCTATTTTCATCTTCGGCAGGTGGTTTAAGTTATCTTTGATATGGCAGAAACTGCATCTTCACCTACTCCTCGTTTTGCTCCCGATGATCCCTCTCTCCCTAAACCTTGGAGAGGCCTTGTTGATGGTAAGACTGGGTATCTTTACTATTGGAATCCTGAGACTAATGTTACTCAGTATGATAAGCCTGGTTATATAAGCTCTTCTGTTCAAAAGTCTTCCCAAGGGCCCCACAGAGACAGTGATGATGATAGATATAGCAGAGGTTACCGTGCCTCAAGTAAGGGCTCTGGTAGGGAGGACTCTAAGGTAATTCAGGTTTCATCACTACTACTGTGTTTGTAACTTTTCTTTGACCTTTTTTTACCCAATCAATGTTATGGTCCTACCATGGTTTCAAATGTATTACTGATGCTTCCTTGGGGTGCAAAAGAAGCGAAGCTTCATGACTTTTGAGACCTAACCCTAAACATTGTGTTCAATTTTTGTGTAAAGTCAGTGCTAAAAATGCAAAAACACAGACCTTAGATCCAAAACCTTCTTAGATAATTTTCTTTCATTGTTTTCTGTTCAGAATCTTCTGGTTCTCTAAATTTGATTATCACTTCCATCACTAGGTTTTTATTTTTATAATATTGCTGTCTGCAAATCTATTGAAGAGCAATATGTCCTCTCACAAGTGTATACAGTACACTCATCCATATCGTTATGTTGCTTTTTTTCTAAATAAATTACATTTAAAATTTTTATAAGGTCTGGACTCTAGCCTTTCCCCTCTTCTACTAAGGGGCTATTTAGCGGGAATCTTGTACAACTATCATTAAATAAAGCAGTGGATATCAGACTATCAGTATATATACTCAGTAGTGGACACTATTCTTAGTTTTCTTGAACATTTAATAGCTTCATTTTAAAATCACAGGGTGGATTAGAATAAAGGCTATAAAATTTGAGGCTTATACCTCAAAGTGCATTGAAGTACATGCCTCCTTAATGCCTTGAGGCTTAAAATCCTTAAGACCCTGACTTGTATTTTGGAAACATAGCTGTTACTTGACATTTAGTATTTTATGTTTATGGTTGGTGGACTGCATCCAAAAGTGATGTCACGTGCTCCAGTTCTAGAATGTTTATTATGTTTCCTGTTTAGATAGCTGATATTTCTTTTTTGATTCAATTGTCATTTAATTATTAAAATGTTTTGCAGACAGAAAGAAACAACTCTGACCATTATCGCGGCGTTTCGGACACCACATTAGGTGCAAATGGTGCATCTGTTTATAAAGATAGGTCCTCAAGCATGGGAAGAGAGTTATCTCCAGATTCTCATCGCCGTCGGCATGAAGTATCCGTAACTGTAAATACCTAAACATTTTTTATGAATTTTCTGGCACGTCTTATTAGGGTTAAGTTCACATTTGCTTTACATTAGACTTGGGTGTGATAGTTTCGGTTTCAATATGTCCTCTCACAAGTGTATTAAGTACACTCATCCATATCGTTATGTTGCTTTCCCCCCCTAAAGAAATTACATCTAAAAATTAATAAGGCCTGAACTCTATCCTTCCCTTCACTAGTGGACAATATTCTTAGATTTATTGTACATTTAATGGCTACATTTTAAATTCACAAGGTGGATTAGAATAAATACTATAAAATTTGGGGCTTATACCTCAAAGTGCACTGAAGTACATCCCTCCTCCTGACTTGTATTTATTGCGTTATGTTTAAGGTTGGTGGACTGCATCCAAAAGTGATGTCACCCGCTCCAGTTCTAGAATGTTTATTATGTTTCCTGTTTAGGTAGCTGATTTTTTTTATTCAATTTTGATTTAATTATTGATATGTTTTGCAGACAGAAAGAAACAACTCTGACCATTATCGTGGCATTTCAGACACCACATTAGGTGCAAATGGTGCATCTGTTTATAAAGATAGGTCCTCAAGTGTCGGAAGAGAGTTGTCTCCAGATTCTTATCGCCGTCGGCATGAAGTATCCGTAACTGTAAATACCTAAACATTGTTTATGAATTTGCCGGCTCATCTTATTAGGGTTAAGTTCGCATTTGTTTCACATTAGAATTGGGTGTGATGGTTTTGGTTTCAATTATCCTTCCATCTTTCTAGGTGTTTTTCTTTATGTCGAAGACAATAAAAACTGTAATTTGCTTCAGTTTTAGAAAACGTAAGAATCTTGTGCAAAGTCATGATGTAGTTCTTGTTGTCTTGTACTCATCCCCTGCATTCTTTAATTTTGGTCTAAACAGTTCTACACTTATGATCCCAAACTGTTTCTTTTTTATCCTTTCAAGTGAAAAGGTAGAGTAGACTAGTCTGAAACATTTCCATGTGCAGTTTCTCACATTATCATGCGAAAGTCTGCATTCTGAGTATCTGTTTTTGCTTTTGTCCCAGGGAGATTATGTGCCTCCACCATTCACCTCATTCAGCTCAACTGGGTTTCCATCAGAGATTTTGAGAGAGGTATTCAAGAAGTCATTCTGTTCTCTTTAAATCCTGGTGACATGTGCTCTCACCAAAGCCAAGGATCTGAGAATGTCATGTTCCTCTGAAATTTTGCGGCTTCCGGAAGTCCATCTCAAACTTTAGCACTCAAAATTAGTTTATTGCCTATTGAAGTTTGTCGCAGGTGCGATATTTGCTCCTGGGGAGGAGCTAAATGTCGTACGCTGCTTCTTTTGGAGGCTTTCATGACTTCGGAGTGCCCTTAATCCGAGGACCAATTTTCGTGAAGGGCTTTTGTGTCATCCATGTTCGTGGCCAGGACTGCTGTTGGTGATATGATTCAGTTTTGCCACGTGGTCCGAATGGAAGAAGAGGCGTCCTCCTGCTTTTAGCTTGCCTATGTAAGGGGGATGATTCTTCTTCTTTCTGTGGGCCACTCCAATAACTCAAGTACAAGCCTTTCAAAAAATGTGAAGCTTTTATATCTATTGATGGGGTGGTGATTTTTTTCATCTTTAGGTACATCAAGCCGGGTTTTCAACTCCTACACCGATACAGGCACAGTCATGGCCTATTGTTCTTCATGGCCGAGATATTGTAGCTATTGCGAAGACTGGCTCAGGAAAAACCTTGGGCTACTTGATTCCTGGCTTTATACATCTAAAAGAGCATCGTAAGAATCCTAGATTAGGTCCCACTGTCTTGGTTTTGTCACCAACAAGGGAGTTAGCAACACAGATACAAGACGAAGCTGTGAAGTTCAGTAAATCTTACCAGATATCTTGCACGGTATTAGTATTGTACCTTAGAGACTGTTAGGGATAGCTTATGGAAGTTATATGTGCTATGTCATTTAAGCACTTTGTCATTAGTATTGCACATAAGGGCTTTTGTCATATGTGCTATGTCATTTAAGCCCTTATAATGATTTCGCTAAAAAACTTCAAAACATTGCTCTCTTAAATACTCACTAAGATTGTGCCTTTTCTTTTAAAAGCACTTTCCTCTTTTCCCTTCAAACAATTTTTTTTTTTGATGTAAAGCACTTTTCTTTTTCTTAAAAGAAGTTATTCCTTGAAAATAAGTCATTCTAAATGCACTCTTAAGTCTTAACCCAATTGTTTGTTAGGATTATTGTTTTGAGAAGTAAAAGGCCTTGAAACCCAATTGATTATGCATGACACAATTGATGCGTTCTTTTGTTTCTTTTATTTTATTATATTAGACCGTGTAAACCATATACCATCAACATACAATTCCATCTCCATTCATTTTCTCATAGTCATTTAGGGCCCCTTTGTTTTAACTGCGAATTTGGAATATTGCTGTGATATTCGCGTGAATCTAGTAACTTGAAATGTGAAGTGATGCGGTGAATCTAGTAACTTGAAATGTGAAGTGAAGTTGAAACCCAATTGCAAATTTGATATTCGCGTGATAGGTTGATTTTGGTGGTAGACAAAGTAAAATCATAAACCTGGAACGATTTTTCTCTCCAAAAGTAATTCAAACCAAACTCACCTCCTCAGATGGAAAAGTAAGATGTGAAGCGGTCCACCTCAACAATCTCACCACTCTGCAGCAATGCACATAAGACACCAAGCTGCAGTGCGATGAGAACTTCATGTACAATTTTCAACCACCGCAGCTAAAGCTGAAATAAATGGGGCCTTAGTGTTTGCTTGGTCACTCTTTAATCTTCATACTTCTTTCTGGTCAGAACGAAATAATTTTCTTTCTTTTAAAGGAAGCGCGGAAAATATCTTGTTGGTTGATGTTGTTTGATTCCTTTTTGAATAATTCTCTTTTCTTAAGCCCTATGCAAAGGCAGATATATAAAGTTTTGTAGGGATAAATGGAGTATTTATTATGTATTTTTAAGTTGTTTTTTAGTAATTTTATGCTATTTGGACAGTGCCTATATGGAGGCGCACCAAAGGGTCCACAATTGAGGGATATAGATAGAGGAGTAGATATTGTGGTTGCCACACCTGGACGGTTAAATGACATCCTGGAAATGCGAAGAATTAGCCTTCACCAAGTTTCCTACTTGGTGTTAGATGAAGCAGACCGTATGTTAGACATGGGCTTTGAACCTCAGATAAGGAAGATTGTGAAGGAGGTGCCTGCTCGCCGACAGACTATTATGTTCACTGCAACATGGCCAAAGGAGGTCCGCAAAATAGCTGCTGATCTGCTGCTCAATCCTGTCCAAGTCAACATTGGTAATGTTGATGAGCTCGTAGCAAACAAATCCATAACACAGGTGTTTTTTTGTACCTTTTCAATTTCTCTCATGCTTCACTTGCAAAATTTGCTTTATGAAGGCCTATTTTGGCAGAGCATTAATCACCTCATTATGCTTATACAGAATTTGTATAGCAACCAGAATGATCTGAATAAGTAGCTATTTACTTCGGCCTAATTTGGTAACATCAATTGGCTTGTTATGACAATCAGCAAAACAATTAAATAAGCTTTTGACCTTCTTATTTGAATGAAAATCACTTTACAAAGTGATTAAGCCATTTCAGCCAAATAACCCTTACTACTAATTGTATTTTGTTTTATGTGTTATGTGAACTAGTAGGGGCTAGTGAACATAATTTCTTTTGGTTATGCAGTGGATGTATGCGGACTTACAATTAATTCCCTTCTAGTTTGTTGGTTTTAGTAACACCACTATCCTTACTTTGTTTCAGTATGTTGAAGTGTTGTCACAAACGGAGAAGACTAGGAGGCTAGAACATATATTGAGATCCCAAGAACCCGGATCGAAAGTGATAATTTTTTGCTCAACAAAGAAGATGTGCAATGCGCTTTCTGGTAACCTTGCTCGCCAATTTGGGGCAGCAGCTATTCATGGTGACAAATCTCAGGGTGAGAGAGATTACGTGTTAAGTCAGTTTCGCACTGGTAGGACTCCAATTCTCGTGGCAACTGACGTTGCTGCTCGCGGCTTGGACATCAAAGATATCAGGTTTGTGTAAAACATTGTTTTTTTTTCCTTGGGTGTAAACTTGTTTAGTTTCATTTGACCTTGCTAAATCCAAAGGAAAATGATATGTAAATATGTTTTTAAACATATATTTAGATTTCTAAATCATAATACTTCCTTCTCTTATTTAGTTGCAACAGTTTAACTTTCACTTTTGCCTACACCCTCATTAATATGTTTATTTGGCTTTAACTAATTATTATAAAAAAATCACATTTTCAAATTTTACTTGAAGACAAAGTTAACAATTTATTTACAATATGATTCTCTAACACATAAATAAATGAAATATGGTCAAAGTCTCAAATTAGAGTATTTGAAATTTATTGGGTTTGGACTAGGGCCCTTCCTGTCCATTTCACAGCCCCTACACTCAGACCCGGCCCATGGTGAATGCAAATGGTGCACTTGTACAGGTACTTTTTATGTTTACAAGGCCTCAATTTTTTCAGTATATCCAAATGAGATCATTAAAAAAAACTATAAGAGTTAATTTAACAAAAAATGGCCATTTTGTATTTTATATTTACAACAACAACAACCAAGCCTTAATCCCAAAAGATTTTGGGGTCGGCTAACATGAATCGATCCATGATATCGATGTCAAAAAGAGAAGACATACAAGAAGAAGAAAAAGAAGAAAAAAGAAGAAAAAAAAGATAAAACGAATGGGATAAAGATAAATAAATACTCCCTCCGTTTCTATTTCTTTGACATAGTTTGACAAGTCAACATTTAAGGAATTTGTTTACTAAGGGGTAAATTTTACCGTTTGAACACTGTTTGGCACTGTTTAGACACTGTTTGGACACTGTTTGAACACCGTTTGACACTTCTTTGCACTGTTTTGTTTACCAAATGAGAAGTGTGGCATCCATTTTGACACTTCCAAAAGAGGAAAGTGTGTCAAAGAAATAGAAATGGAGGGAGTATAAGATAACAATAACATAAGATTATAATAAAGATAAAAGATAAAAGTGCATAAAGATGCTAGAAGATAAAAATAACATAAGAAAAAGAGAAAGGAAAGATAGAAAAGAGATCAATCGTCCACACGAATCATACCTATCTGTTAGTTTTACAATTTGACGAAGATAAACATAAAAATAACATAAAAAGATCAAGAAGATAAACGATAAAAGATAAACGAATCATACCTATCTGTTATTTTTACAATTTTACATAAGAATTAAAGATTCGAAAAAAATTGGGTTTAATTGTTACTCATTTATAAAAGCAGTGCAACATAAATCAGATTAATGTTGATTTGTGAATTTAGAATTGTGAATCTTTTCAAATTTATATATTCACATATTCACTTATGTAGTGCCTCATATCTTCAGTATTGTAATTGAAATACATAGTATAATACTTCATCCGTTCTTAAATAATTGCAACACTTCCCTTTTTGGCAGTTTCAAAATAATTGCAACCTCTCTCTTTTAGGCAATATACACAAAATGACTTTAATATCCCTAATAATTCTGTGGGTACGATCTCTCATCTTGCACTCAACATGAAGGCCCATTTCATAGCTTATTTCCATCCACCCACCAGGCCTCCCCATTTGTCTTCTCCCATCACTATCACGCCACCTTCTCCTCTTATCCCTCACCAACTTCTATTTTTGTCCTGTTTTTCTCCAATTTGCTCTTAAATTTGGACAATAGAAATCTTGCTATAAGATTTTAACGTGTTTGCTCCAGTTTCAATTTTGTGATGGGTGTTTTTTTTGCTGTGGCTACAATTTCTTGTCTTCCATCGCTGGAATTCCACAACAGCCATCATCCCTCCTCATCTTTTCCATTCTGCCACACCCTGCTACCACAACTCTCCTTCTCTACTTATATTCTTCCGACGCAGATAACCCACCAAATGGTGATGATTACAAAAATTGATATGTTGTGGACCATCTCAAGATCAAATGAAAGAAAAGGCATTTGCTATGGTACTCCACTTGAGCTAGTTTTGTGGGAAGAAAATTAAGGATTTTAATTGAAAATTAAGGAGTAGAATAAAAGAATTGTTGCTGACTATCTCAAACCCTTATTTTGCATCCCGATTAGGTTTCTCACCAGTAGGAATAGTACACGGAGGAGATAATGATATTATGATAATAGTGACTGAGAAGGGCAAAAGTGGAAAGTACAAAAGTCAGCCCTCAATTCTTAATTCCTGTGCCCAGCTCTATGTTGCAATTATATCCGAGCGGAGGATAGTATAAGTTTTGTACTTTATTAGCAAAACCATATTTTTAATTTGTAATTATTCAAGGCACTCAAAACATTAGGATTGGCCTCAACTATACTCAAAACTTAGAAGTAAAATGTACTTCTAAGTATGTGTAGTATAATAAAGCTAAATAAAAAAACCATTATTAACACAAAATTATAGTGAGATAAGGTGTTTTTTTTTAACAAAACTAGAACACAAAGTAGTATCAAACTTATAGTAAGGTACTCCATCATCCCTATAAAGTTCCTGTATTCCTTTTCGAGATGTTCCCAAATACTTGCCTTTTCTGGTAAAGAAATTCTTATCAATTTACTCTACTACCCTCAAGTCATAATTACTTTAGAGTGTCAAAAACAGTAAACAGTGTCAAATAGTGTCAAACCAGTGTAATCTACAGTAATATTTTCACTCTAAAATGGTATTTCAGGAAGCCAAAGATTTTTTAGTGAAAATCACACACGAACTTCTTTAGGGGAGAGAGGAAGTATTAAATTGGCACTTCATTTTTTAAAACCGAGAGGGAGGAGAAGACCCAAATAGACTTGGATTAGAGGAATCAGAACTGATATGTCTTATCGGGTTGGATGAGAGTATGACTTTGGAGAGGGCAAAGTGGAGGGCGCACATTCGTGTGGACGATTGATCTATTTTCTATCTTTCCTCTTTCTTTTTGTTTTATCATTTATCTTCTTTATCTTTTATGTTCTTATGTTATTTTTATCTTCTAGCTTTTTTATGCTCTTTTATCCTTTTATCTTTTATCTTTCTTATATTTTTATGTTATTGTTATCTTATATTTATTTATCTTTATCTTATTCGTTTTATCTTTTTTTTTCTTCTTGCTTGTCTTCTCTTTTTGGCATCGATATCATGACTCGATTCATGTTAGCCGACCCCAAAATCTTTTGGGTTTAAGACTTGGATGTTGTTGTTGTATGCAGATTCTTTCTATGGATAAATTGAAATTTACACTTGTCAATTCTCTCCCTTTCAGGCGTTTTCCCTCCTGTAGTTATGTTCCATAAATTTCAATAGTAAACATAATGAAAGCTATTGATCCTAAAAGCCAAAAAGAAGTCTATGCATATATATTGATTTTTTTTTGGGCCTAACCGCCTAAATGTTTTCTATTGTTGTCAATGTTGTGTACCTAAGTGCTCTCCCCTGTTGCCCACCCTCTAGAGCTGGCATTGCCGCATTGGTTTGAATCTATCGTCTTTTTTCCCTGAGTTTTCTTCCCTTCCTAATTTCTCTCCTATGTTCCTCCTTATACTTCCTCTTTTATTTTGTATGTTCCAAACGGACCTTTGTAATTTTTTGAGGCATCTGTAACAGGGTCGTAATTAATTATGACTTCCCTACCGGAATAGAGGATTACGTGCACAGGATAGGAAGAACAGGACGGGCAGGTGCAACAGGTGTTGCTTACACATTTTTTACTGAGCAGGATGGAAAGCACACATCGGATCTCATTAAGGTCTTAGAAGGTGCTAACCAACGCGTTCCTGTTGAACTACGAGATATTGGTTCACGTAGTGGTGGGATGGGAAGGGGTAGGCGTCAATGGGGTTCTGGCCCCGCTGGGCGTGATGGAGGGCATATACGTTATGATTCTGGTAATGGTGCAAGGGGAACTTTGGCTATGTCCTCATCAAGTAGAGGCGGAGGCCGTGGAGTTGATCGCGATTCAAGCTACAGGTAATATGACAACTATCTTTTGTTACTTCATCCGTACCAAGCAAGTGTCATGTTCGACTTAGTTACAACTTTATTTTATTTTATTAAGGAACCACTCTCATAAGTCATGAATCAAACTCATGATAGATTCTGTAACTGTTTGGCAATATACATGAAATGTTAGTGCCCGTTTGGTAGTTTTTTTTGCTTATCAGTCTGATAGTCTAAGTCTAAGTTATTAACTGGATCTATGTATAGCCGAATAATGAATCAAAGTATTGTAAAAGCCATTATAGATCCTTATTTCTTTTGATCAAAGATGATTTGTTTTTGGACAATAAAATTTTAAAAATGACTTCATTTGGAACATAAGGGTTACTGTTTTCCTTTTCTTTAGTCCCACTAACTAATATTTGGCATTTTGGCTCGATGTTTTGTATACTACAGGCATGGCCGCACTCATGACAGCAATGGCTTTGGTAATTACCAAAATCCGCGGAGCCTAATAAATGGTGCACACAATTCAGACAGGCATGGCCGTAGCAGGAGTAGGAGCCCTGTTAGGGGGGCTGCTTCTGGGTGGGGTGGCAGTGACAGTAGGAGTAGGGCTCGCAGCCGGAGCATTGATAGGTTCAGCAGGTCCACTACTCGTGATGTTGGACGGAATTTCCGCGAGGCAGCCCCTGTCACAACACGAGCAGGAGCATCCTTGGTGCCTTCTGCAAAGCAGAGACCGCCACCAACTTACGATTATGGACCTAGGGAGAGTAACAGAAGATCATATGACTACAACAGCAACCAAAAGCATTGGGAAAGATCTTCTCCTGCACCCAAGGAGCAGCGTAGCGGGAAGTATGAATCTCAAAATAGTGGGGATGAAGAGGAAGGCATCTTTCACCCTCCTAAGGAAAAGAGCAATTACTAAGAACCCACTGAATAGTGAAGGAGGGAACTGACAAACTGTTGCGTTATGCTCTTTCCTTTGCTACTGTTTCACTTGGATGTTGTAGTTTATTTTGGCAGTAGGAGACTGGCTAGGTAGAGGTGTAAAAGGACATTGGGAATGCTGCTTGCAATGTTTAGTGTAATAGGGGACAATATGTGGACTTATAGATTGATCAAGTGTATTGTAAGACTACTGATATAGAGACGTATTATTGACACATAACATTGAATTGGAAATGTTTTTTACTACCCTTTTTTGGATGCTGCCTGCCTCACTACTGTGACCTCAAACCCCACCCCAAGGATCATGATGGGTTAGAGGAGACGGTAAACCCTGAGAGGGAGAAACATTAGGTGTTCGGGTTCTAAACTGTTGCAACTGTCACAACAGTTTTGCTATTGGCATGCATGAGGTTCTTGGGGGGGGGGGGGGGGGGTGCTCCTTGCTTATTGCTTAACAATCCCTTCATTAGATGACTCACAAACTTCCCAATCTTTTGCTTGAATCGGTGAATCCTCACTGATATAAGTAATTAGCCCAACTTTTTTTTGCACCCCCAGACTCTACCAAAATGTGGGTTATGGACAAAAAAGTCATGTTTTTTAGCGTTCAAAAAAAATCAAAGTTTGACTAAAAATGTCCGACTTTGATGCAATAGGGCTAGGGTTGATGGGCTTGTAGGCAAAAAAATATACATACTTTTTGCATCACGAAGTACAATGTAATCAACTAAGTAGGTGAAAAAGAATTCATTACTCCAAAAAATGCACAAATAAAATAAAAGTTCAAGCTTATTTGTAGTTTATAAGTTTTTGCAAATGCACTCTTGAAATTGAGATGCACAAATATTACAATTATTCTTCTAGTCTAGACTTATCAAGCTTTACCACAAGCTGTTATCACTCAACAATCATCAAAAACTTCATTCTCTTTCATATTAACATTAGGTATCTCATTTGGTTTTGATGTAATAATATTATTAAGATATTCCCTTTCTGAATCCAATGTTGTTTTTTCTAACTTGCATTTCGAAGGTTATCAATGTTCAATATTTTAACTGTATTAGGATTCAACCAAGAGTTTCTGGGCCCAGCTTAGCTGGGGTTAACAGGCTAGGTCGGAATGAATCATGAAGTACTGAACCAATGAGTTGGGCGGGATTTCAAATACTCTACTCATGCCTATCCCTTCAAACAATTGGCTGGCCTAGCCTCTGACCCATATGGGCTGGTTCATGATTGATAGCAAATGGAAATTGGAATGAGTAGAAAAAGTACATTACTCTACAAAATGACACATTAAACTCTAATATGCCAAACCCTTGCTTAGTTCTTTAAAGTACCACTTCCATTGCGTCGAAAAAGGACATATTAAGGCCCTTAAATTATGGGTGGGATATAATAACCCAACTGTAAGTTCTAATGTTTTCACTTTAACCTTAAAATTATCATGGCGGAGTTTTTGGTTCACAAGTGTTGGTCAATGAAGAAACCCAATATTTAGTAGGCTACTGTTGTCTACAAAACTGTCAAACTACAACAGTACAACATGAACCAACCAGAGTGCGTCTGGGCCTTTTACATGGACTGTAGTGTCTCTGCTGGTCGAGGCCTCCTTCCAATCTTGGAACCCCATTTATGCCACACATTTAAGTCTGGCAAATGTCAAGTAGCCCGTGTGACCTCTTGCCTCGCCACAAGGCATCACCGTGACAGCAGGAGAGGAAGCAGAACATTTGTTGTCATCAACGTTAGATGCCATTCTCCTCTTGCATGGATGATGATCAACTGTATCGCCATTCTCACTTGGGCACCTCTCCTGCATTCTTTGCCTAACTTCATAAGCGCGGAGGAGTACTTCAAAGGTTCTTATATCTACATTATCATGAACAATACACACATATTATGTCCTTAATTAACAACATGTAAGCTGAATGAAATATGTCACACAATGAACATTTACTTGTCTTTCAATACTTGATATTTAAGAAGTTAAGATGTTTTTTATTGGACTGAAATTTTTCGATTTGATCTGGTCTAATCTAGTCTGATTTAGTCTGGTAGATGTTTGGTCTCTGTTTATTTTAAAAAGTGTCCAAGTCTAGTCTGATTTGGGAATGAAAACAGTCCAAGTAAAAACATCTTTAATGCAGCGCTAGTTTACAGTTTGATTACAAAATATGCGGGAGTGGGTGGAGGATACTCTCCTAGGAAGGGATGGACATAAGACAGTGATGGTCCCCCTCCACAGGTAGGAACCGTGACCAGAACCAGTAATATTAAAACACGGTTCTGGATCTCATTGCAATTCAGTTTCCGCCCGACTTCTTAGCCTACATATCTAAACAAAAAAAAGAAGTGAAAGCACAATGAACCAATCCTTTTCTGGAGGAAACAAAACCCAACCCGAAAATACCAGGTTACCAAGTATTGGTTCATGACTGGTCGGCTCCAGCTCAGAATCATGGGCGAGCTTACTGCTAGGCCCTTGAAGGGCCTGCCTTGAGTACAAGTCAGACTGGTATACTAAGGCCTAGCGCCTTGTTGGGGTTAAACGAAATGAGGCAGGACCTGAAAGAGAAAAAAACCTAGTCACCCTAGGAGAGCCTAGCACTAGAGCTGAACAAAAAAAACTGTCGATCTGGAAACTCCACCAAAAACCAATCGAAACAAACCAAACACTGAATGAAACAAACCATGAACAACTGACGAGCAGACCTACCTCATGCCTAGAAGGAGAGATAATTACAACAATGGCTACTGCCACTTGCAAGCAATAAATTTGTGCATGAGTCTAAAATATGTAAGCATAGAGTAACAACTACTACGTAGTATTTACCAGTGAAACAAGATCTGAGTGCTTCACAAGAGCGCTGGACTTGCTCAATGCAAGGTGAGAAGGAGCACAAGACACCATCTTCTTTCAACATTTTTCCAACTGAAGTTATGGCAAGCCAAGGTTGAGGGAGATCAAGAAACACCGAATCTGCCCTTTTGCAAAATTCCTCAGGAAACCCCTCACCTTGTATGTCTCTTACCCCTACTGTCACCAAACTCTTTAAACCCGTCTTCTCGAAATCCTCTCTACATTCAAAAACATCTTCAAACATTTAGTCTTGTCAAGCTCAAAACGCCCTCCAAATGCTAAATCGAGAAATGCTTTTCCATTTATAGAATGAAATGACATCTTATGAACTCAATTCTTTAGACATTTTTTTAATAAACTACGGAGTACATGTTAATAAAATTGATCGTTTAAGCTATAAAAGCATTAACACTACATGTTTCTTCAAATAGCTATCCAGACAACACACTTATTTATTAAAAACTTAAACCAAAATGTTCGAAGAACAATTCTTATCTTAAATAAACACCTATATTCAATCAAACAGTAATATTATTATTATATACCCAGTACTTAAAAAGAACCTAACTTATTCGTAGAGGTTGAGACAATTCTAAATGGCTAAAGGGTCCTGTACCGGTCGTGTAAGCTCAATTCAGTTCTTGAACTAAAAAAAGGTTTAATTAGCACCCCAAACAAGCAAAAAAGGGTTCAAATTTCATTTTTTTACAGGTAAACAATCGGTAATAAAGGTCCAATTCGCACCCTTAAACTATTAAAAAGTGTCAAAATTGCAATAAATCGAAAATAAAAAAGAGAAACAATAAAAAATTTAAAAAATGACCTGTTGTTTACTCCTAAAAAATGAAATTTGAACCTTGGTTCAAGGTGCAAATCGAACCTTTTTTAATTCAAAGACTGAATTGAGTATTTGACCCAGCCATTCTAAATTAACAAAAGAGAAAAGAAACAACCGAGCTGTTTACCTAGCAGATGCAGCCCTCTGTTCATGGAAATCAAATGTGTAAACGTGCCCTGTAGGAGCAACAGCCCGAGCAAGAGATGTGGTCAAAGACCCGCTTCCTGTACCGGATTCAAGTACCAAGCAACCCGGAACTGCCTCCAAATACATAACCACGAAACTTATATCAGCAATATATAGAATCTGAGTTCTGTGACTCAGAACAAGCGTCCATAGTTCCGGCGTTGGGGCCAATAGGTATACGAATCCGCTTTTTGAGCTGAAAACTTTCGACCCGAAATGTTTCCCGACCCAATCCGAATGCTTGAACACCCCGAATCGATTCTGGAGCACCCCATTCTGAGAAACCTTCACAGCTTTCATCACGTCGTGCCGTTCGTACACAATAACCAAATCTCCATCTTTGATGGGGCGATTGAATGATAATCTTTTGTCTGGGTCTATTTGAAGCACCATTGATATTGGCAAGCAGCTATGTAAACAAAATTCTTTTCTCTGCGAAGAACTCTTTGAAAGCTTTGCTCTGCTAGTTCAAGAGCGCCCGCCCGGGAAGTAAAACTGCTGCAAGCCTGCAAGTAGGGGTGGGCACGGTTGGTTAACCGCATTTTGGTTAACCAATTTTCGGTTAACCATGTTATCGGTTACTAAATTTTATATACCGTTACCCGTACCATAACATCGGTTAACCGGGTGCCGGTTAACCAATATTTAGGTTAACCGCTAACGGTTTACCAATAAACCATAACTGTTGTTTTTAAATTTTGAAACATACAAATTTTTAAATGACAAACTATTGTAAAAATTTCTATTGATAGTTTATTAGTTCACTGAATATGTTTATTTAATTCTCTTTTTGGAATATCAATATGCTTAATTATATGCGGTGATGTGCATAATATTGAATAATAATAATTCATAGTACTGGCCAGTAGATCAAAGTATACTCTACGGACAAAAGCTCATCCTGTTTTTAGTATAACTAGTCTCTTCAAATATATACTACAATACAAAAGATTTAAAATTAATCATATATTCCTAAAAACTAATTAAGTACGTAGAGCTCCTTTAAAAAAAACAAGCGGTGCAACATTATATATGCTCCATATAGTGTTCCACTTACGGAGCAGCACTATTTATTGTCACCGCAGCAACTAATTAAGTACGTCGCATGTTACGAACTACAAATCATGTACCAGTATTTATTTAAAATTTGAGCTAGTGGTTAACCGTTGTTAACATAATTTTAACCATAACCATATCATGTACCGTTTTTTCTTTGCGGTTGGTTAACCGTACCGTGAGTTGTAAAAAATCCGGTACGGTTAACCGAAAAATACATCGGTTTTTAGGTTTTTTTTTGTTTGGTTAGACGGTTACGGTTTTTTGTGCCCACCCCTACCTGCAACGATAACCAAGATGGATGGAATGATTATAAGGATTGGGCTTTCAATGCAAGTTTTGACGTTCAATCAGGCCCCTCAAGGCCTCAAGTATTATACCCGGTATTGCATAATAATTAAAAATTTTCACTCTAGTCTGGTCTGATTTAGTTTAGTATGATATGATAAATGTTTGATTTTTGTGTATTTTATAACTGTCCAAGTTTAATTTAGTCTGATCTAATCTAGACTGGTCATATCTGGTCTGGTCTGAGACCGAAAACAGTACAAAAAAAGCATCCTAATGCAGAATAAAATAGGGAGAATTTGACTTTGCACCCCATGTTTTGGGTGATATTTGACTTTGCACCCTATTTTCAAAATCATTAATGTATGCACCCCAATTCACTATAAAATCATTTGACTTTGCACCCCACTTCTTCACAATGTTTGGACTAATGGGGTGCATACATTAATGATTTTAAAAATGGGGTGCAAACTCAAATATCACCCAAAACATGAGGTGCAAAGTCAAATTCTCCCAATAAAATATTCATTCAATCCCATATAACTTTGTCATCTTTGCCAAACACTTCGTGGAATCACTGTGACACTTTCAAGTAGGGGTGCAATAAGCCGAGCCTGAATTAGGCTCGAGCTCAAGCTCGAAATATATTGTATTGGCTCAAGCTCGACTCAAACGAGTTTAAAAAATCGAGGCTCAAGCTCAATTCACAACTATTTAGATGGCTCGATTCAGCTCGATTGGCTCGATAATTTTGGTTTGTCAACTGAATAGTTACAAGTTCGATTAGCTCGAAAGTTCGAGTTCGAACTCGAGCTCAAGTATGAAACAATCTTTGAATATTTGTACTTAACATTTGCAATTTGCAATTTACATGACCAACAACTAAAAGTAGAGTAAATGTTGTCAAACAAAAAATCAAAAGTGGTCACACAATGAGTTACGGATGTGAAACAAATTTTGTTGAATATGTTGTTTTGTTGATGACTAACCATGCAGGAACAAAGGATGGAACGGGTCTATAAACATATGTGAATTATGTGCATATAAGACTACTCGTTTGAATTCTATTTTTAATTACGAAGCTTTATTTGAAAATATGGAATGAAATCTGTGGTAACCACTACTCCTTGGTTAGAAATTCATTCGTTGGAAAATAATCCAAATGGAAAGTCCTTAAATGATTAAACCCACTTTGGAAAGGAAACATTTAGAGTTGCTTTAATAATTCCATGACCGTTGCATGTTTTGAATGAAAAGATCTTTTGCATAAATTGTTGCCTTCTCTAGCTAAGGATCCGTTTGCATAAATACATAAAATATCTTTGGAGCAATTATTATTAATCTCTATGAACAAGGAAAGGATCGAGAAAGAGAAGGGGATCTTCCAAACAAGGCAAGAATCGTTCTCTTGCATAAGGAAGTCACAACGGACACATCCGGAGCAACCTATATATTCAAGAAAGCAAAATGGAAGAGGTGGGCTGAACCGAGAAAAATACTTAGAAGAATCATTCAAGAAAATATCAAGTCCTTGGCGACTGAAACTGCCTGCTCGGAGTTCTAGATAGAGTTTCTCTTTTCCCTTTCATATTGTACTTGGAATATTGAGGCTTAATTGGCTAGAGTAGCTGCCTCGGGTTAAGTGTGTGTGAGAGCTTTGTGATAAAGCTGAGAGGCTCTCTACCCGCAAGGTAGAGATGCATAACTCTTCCTAGAGAGGATAGAGTTGGGGAGGCTCAAGGGTAGATTAGGAGAATCACTCTTGTAACTCTTTCAAAGGCTTGTTTAGTGAAGTTGTTTAAAATTCCTCCGAGGGAGGTCGAGGTTTTTTAATCCCTTTGAGCCAAGGGATTTTTCCTCGTTAAATTCTTGTGCACTTTACTATTTTGCAATTCCCTTTATCCCACACTAGAACTCGGCGAAAAACTGCCACGGTTCCACACACACACACAATTCACCCCCCCTCTTGTGTTGCTAACCGTTTTCATCAATTGGTATCAGAGCCGGTCTTCACCACATAGAGGCTAATACCTTGGGAAGAGATCCGGCAAAATGAATACGGTTGACCGATTGGAAGAAGGGTACTCGACTCAACGACCACCATTGTTCAATGGCAAATACTATCAATTTTGGAAGAGTCGGATGGAAAACTTTATCAAGGCCGATAACTACCAGGTTTGGAATGTAATTGAAAGTGGTGATAATGTCATCACAAAGAGAAACGCCGAAGGTAATGTTGTTCCTAAACCTAAAGTTGAATATACTTCTGAAGATTATGAGAAACTCGAGCATAATGCCCAAGCCCTTAAATATCTAATTTGCGGTCTTGGTCCTGCCGAACACAATCGGGTTCTAGGATGCAAGACTGCAAAACAAATGTGGGATTTGCTCGAGGTCACTCATGAGGGAACCTCACGTGTAAAAAAATCTAAGATTGACATATTCATGCGTAATTACGAATTATTCGTAATGAAGCCAAAAGAGTCAATTAAGGATATGATTACACGCTTTACTAACATTATCAATGAGCTTTCAGCCCTTGGAAGAGAAATTACCGTGGAAGATCAAGTGAGAAAGATTTTGAGAAGCCTGCCCCAAGTGTGGAAGCCTAAGACCACGGCTATTGAAGAAGCAAAGGATCTATCCACCATGACGCTTGAAGACTTGACTGGATCACTCTTGACATATGAACTAGGTCTTCAAGAAGAACAAGATGCCGAGAGTGCTAGACGAGAAAGAGGAATAGCTCTAAAGGCTCGAGAAGAAGAAGAGGAATCCGAGAGTGAATCGGATGATGAGATGAGCATGTTTGCAAAACAATTTGGGAGGATGTACCGAAAGTTCAAGAACAACCGTATCAAACAAGGTAAAAAGAACACTCAATCTTTTAATAACCAAGGCTGTTTTGTTTGTGGTTCCTTTGAGCACAGGGCTAAAGACTGTTCACAAAAGAAAAATGACCGGAACTGCGACAAGAACAAGTCCAGTTCCAACCGGAGGTTCAGCGAAGACAAAGGGTTCAAGAGAGATCTCAAAAAGGCCATGATGGCAGCATGGGGAGATTCTTCTGATGATGATGAAGAGGAAAATGATAAGAACACCAATCATGCGGGTCTATGTCTTATGGCACTCTCCGACGAGGAATCCGACCAAGAAAGCTTTGAGGTAAACTTTGAAAATTTTCTATCCAAGTTTGACTCTCTATCCAAAACCAAAACTCGGAAGATTTTCAAAAGATTGACTATTGAGCTTAATGAAAGCCTTTCCGAAAACGATCATCTTAAATCACGTGTCACTGAGCTTGAGTCTAAACTCGAGGAAGCCACAAGAGCCAAAATAAGGCTTGAAACAAAAGTGGGAGAGTTAATAGATGAAAGGCTTAAGTACAGTGAAGTGGTTCTAGAACAAGATCAAATTATTTGCTCTCTTAAGCTCGATAGTATGAACAAACAAGTTGATCATGATGAAAAGCTTCTCTCAAAAATACCGAGTGTTGGTTGTTTAATTGATCATCTTCATCGTCTTGTTGCCGAGTGCACTGATTTTAAAAATAGACCGGAATATCAATCCTATAGTGCAACGAACAAAACCAGGTCTAGACATCATTCTGGAACTGGTCCTTCTCAGCACAATAAGAAAGTAAACGAGACTGCAGGTCTCGGATATGTTCCAAAGGATATTCGAGCTAATCAAAAATCAAATTTTCAGAACCAACCCTTTAAGGATAATAGAACCCGAGGACAACCCAGTTCTAGACCATATCAACAGCCACCTAGAACTGGACCAAACTGGTTCGATAGACTGGTTCAGAGGCACAAAAACGGTTATGGACAAACGCCTAACCGAACTTTTCATAAAAGAACAAGAGGCTTTTATGGTAAATGGAAACCTAAATACGTTGATACTTATGACAACCGGGTTTGCATGCATTGTGGCAAAATCGGTCATCTACGGTATCAATGTCACTCTCGGCAAAAGACTTTAGAAAGATGCTATGATCATGTTAGATATTCCTCAAACAATTACAAAATGGAACCCAAGCAAGTCTGGGTTCCACGCGCTAACCCTTAATCCTGGAACAGCGCCGAGTGAGGGGGAACAATCACTGGTTCCTTGACAGTGGTTGTTCTAAGCACATGACGGGAGACAAATCTTTATTCCTCTCACTACGGTCATTTAGCGGTGGAAAGGTGACATTTGGA